TGACCGCACTGCCCTTGAGCAGCTTGCTCGGCCAGTTGCAGTCTCCCTTGCTCACCCTTCTGGGGGTCCAGTCATTGCGACCTCCTCCACTGTCCTCCCCTGTCCTGCGGTCCCGTCGGGCACACTGTCCGGTCTCTACCTCCCCTCGTTCTCTACGAACTTGGTGGCCGGTAGTGCGCTCCAGGATGGGGATGTTCACCAGTTCACCCCTGCCTACGAGCGCGTGACCCACTGCACGTGTGCTCGGACGGGTCGCCACCTGGCTACCTTCACTCGGCAGCCGGGGTCGGACCTGTACACACTGACCACTGAGTCCCCTCAGGTAGCTGCGTCTGCGTCGGCGTCTGCGTCTGGTCAGCTGTCGGCCCCCTGCTCTTGTCGCTCCCTGTCGCACCAGACTGTCCTCTGGCACCACCGCCTTGGTCACCCGTCCGTGCAGCGCCTTCGTGGCATGCACTCCCGGTACCTTGTCTCTGGTTTGCCAAGGGTGCTCCCTCCCCTCCCACCCTCACCTGCTCCTCCCTGTCTTCCCTGTGTCAAGGGGCGGCAGCGCGCCGCTCCTCACTCCTCCTCCTTTCCCCCGACGACTGCTCCTCTGCAGACACTCCACATGGACGTGTGGGGCCCAGCCCGCGTCCGTGGACAGGGTCAGGAGCGGTACTTCTTGATAGTTGTTGACGACTACACGCGTTACACCACGGTCTTCCCCTTGCGCACCAAGGGTGAAGTCCCTGATGTTTTGATCCCTTGGATCCGCGCTGCCCGTCTCCAGCTCAGCGAGAGGTTCCACTCCGACCTTCCTGTCCTCCGTCTGCACTCTGACAGAGGTGGGGAGTTTTCCTCCGGCCTCCTGGAGGCCTTCTGTCAGAAGGAGGGCATTGAGTAGTCGTTCACGCTTCCGGCCTCTCCACAGCAGAATGGGGTTGCTGAGCGTCGCATTGGCTTGGTCATGGAGGTCGCTCGTACCTCCTTGATCCATGCGGCTGCCCCCCACTTTCTGTGGCCGTTTGCAGTCCAATACGCTGCTCATCAGCTCAACCTCTGGCCCCGTGTCTCCGTTCCGGAGACTTCGCCGACACTGCGTTGGACGGGCAAGGTTGGCGATGCGTCACGCTTTCGGGTCTAGGGATCTCGAGCCTTTGTTCGCGATACGTCCGCGGACAAGCTCTCCTCCCGCGCTGTTCCTTGTGTCTTCCTTGGCTTTGTCCCGGACGCGTCTGGTTGGCAGTTTTACCACCCCACCTCGCGCCGTGTCCTGCCTTCTCAGGACGTCACTTTTGACGAGTCCGTCCCCTACTACCGCCTCTTCCCCTACCGCACTGCCCCGCTCCCCCCCCCCGCCTCTCTTCCTCGCTCCAGGTGCTGCTGTAGTAGACCCCCTCCCCCCTCAGGGTGCCGCTCCCTCAGGTGTGTCCCAGGTAGACCCGGTTGAGCCTGTCGAGGTAGCTGTCGACTCTCGTCCTGCTTGGAGTGCTGAGCCTGAGTGTGCGGAGCCTGAGTGTGCGGAGCCTGGGGGTGCTGAGCCTGGGGGTGCCTGAGCCTGAGTGTGCGGAGCCTGGGGGTGCGGAGCCTGAGGGTGCGGAGCCTGGGGGTGCGGAGCCTGGGGGTGCTGGACCTGAGAGTGCTACGTCTGAGGGTACTGAGCCTGGGGGTACTGCGACTGAGGGTGCTGAGCCTGGGGGTGCTACTCCTGGGCGTTCGGCGCCTGGAGACCCTCCTTCTTCCCAGCAGCTGCGTGAGTGGTACTCGCGGTACTGCAGCCTCAGGAGAGGTGCTGCTGCAGCTGGTGCTCGTGGTTCCCCGCCTCGGCGGGAGCTACCCTCTCCACAGCGACTCCGAGAGTGGTACGCTCGGCGCTGCAGTCTCCGGAGTGGCGCTGCTGGTGCTGGGGACCCTGGAGTTGGAGCTACTGCTGGTGCTGAGGAACCTGGAGCTGGAGCTGCTGCTGGTGCTGAGGACCCGGGCGTTGGAGCTGCTGCTGGTACTGCGGACCCAGGCGCTGGAGCTGCTGCTGGTGCTGCGGACCCTGGAGTTGGAGCTGCTGCTGGTGCTGAGGACCCGGGCGTTGGAGCTGCTCCTGGTGCTGCGGACCCGGGCGTTGGAGCTGCTGCTGGTGCTGCGGACCCTGGCGTTGGAGCTGCTGCTGGTGCTGCGGACCCTGGAGTTGGAGCTGCTGCTGGTGCTGCGGACCCTGGAGTTGGAGCTGCTGCTGGTGCTGAGGACCCTGGAGTTGGAGCTGCTGCTGGTGCTGGAGGTGCTGGCGCTGCTGGAGCTACTGGTGGTCCTGCGCGCGCTGTAGCTGGAGACCCTGGAGCTGAGGCTAGTGGTGGTTTCTCTGCTGGTTCTGGCGGCGCTACGCGGCCGCAGCCGTACTTCGTTCCGCTCCTTCAGCAGGTTCTTGGTCAGTCGCCTCCTCCTTGTCCTGCTCCCTCCTTAGAGTGTCTTCCGCCAGTCCAGTCGCAGTCACAGTTACCTCCTGCCATACCACTCCCTGGTCCTTCTCCTTACACTGGTCCGACTGGAGGTCTTACGGAGCGTCGTGAGCCTGAGTCTCGTCCTGCGTCGCCCGAGTCTCGTCGTGCGTCGCCTGTTCGTGCTGCTCACACTGGTCGTCGTGTCCCTCGTCAGCGTCCTCCTGCTGTCCCAGGCACTCACCCGATGGCGCTTCGTCCTTCCACTGCTCCTCAGCGCGTCCCTCTGCCGTCTCCTCCTGCGTCCTCTCTTCCTGCTCTTGCTGACCCGGAGTCTGACTCTCTTCGTGCTGCCAGTCCTACTGTCACGCGTCTCCTCGCCACTGTTGTCACTGACCCTTCCTTTGAGTCCTCTGCTGCATCTGCTCTAGTCGCTGAGTTAGTTGACTTTGCTGCCGCTTGTCGTCTAGACTACGCTGCTAGCCTTGTCGCTGAGTCTGAGTCTGAGTCTGTCTGTCCTCCGTCCGTCGGGGGTGAGATTGCTCTTGGCACGGACGTCCTTGAGGACAGGCAGGAGGAGTTTGAGTGCTTTGCCGCTGCTTTACCTCATCTCGTGTCCATGCTAGTTGCCCCTCAGGGAGACCCAGATGCTCCAGACATCCCGACCCCGCGCTCTTACGCTGAGGCGATCGCGGGTGAGTACTCCTCTCAGTGGCAGACAGCCATGGACGCAGAGATGGCTTCCTGGAAGTCCACAGGCACCTACGTCGACGAGGTTCCCCCACCTAGGGCGAACATCGTCAGTGGCATGTGGATTTTCAGGGTGAAGCGGCCGCCGGGTTCTCCGCCTGTCTTCAAGGCGCGTTACGTTGCACGAGGCTTCAGTCAGCGAGAGGGAGTTGACTTCTTCCAGACCTTCTCCCCGACCCCGAAGATGACCACTCTTCGGGTTCTGCTGCACGTCGCCGCTCAGCGTGACTACGAGCTCCACTCTCTTGACTTCAGCACTGCGTTCCTACAGGGCAGCCTGCACAAGGAGATCTGGCTGCGCCGCCCACCTGGCTTCACTGGGTCGGTCCCTCCTGGTACCCAATGGAGCCTCCGGCGGCCAGTCTACGGTCTCCGCCAGGCACCCCGTGAGTGGCACGACACACTGAGGACTACTCTTGTTGCTCTTGGGTTTGCTCCTTCTACTGCTGACCCGTCGCTGTTTCTACGCACCGACACCACTCTGCCGCCGTTCTACGTTCTCGTCTACGTAGACAACTTGGTCTTTGCTACTGCTGACACTGCGGCACTCGCCCACGTGAAGTCGGAGCTGCAGAAGAGACACACGTGCACAGACCTGGGTGAACTGACAAGCTATCTTGGCTTGCGGATCACCCGGGACAGAGCACAGCGCACCATCACCTTGACTCAGTCACACATGGTGCAGCAGGTCCTTCAGCGCTTCCGCTTCACGTACTCCTCGCCTCAAGCCACTCCTCTGCCTACCAGTCACTCGCTCTCAGCTCTGCCTTCGGATGAGTCCGTAGAGCCGAGTTGCCCGTATCCAGAGCTTGTCGGCTGCCTCATGTACCTGATGACCTGCACTTGACCTGACCTAGCATACCCTCTTAGCATCCTCGCACGCTATGTCGCTCCTGGCCGTCACCGGAAGGAGCACATGGATGCAGCTAAGAGGGTGTTGCGCTACTTGTGCAGTACGTCGGGCATGGGGCTAGTGCTTGGAGGACGGGCTCGAGTTGTCTCAGCGGTCGTCTCAGGGTTACACCTTCAGCCTTGGCTCTGGCTCAGTTTCTTGGCGTTCTACTCGCTCGTCTTCAGTTCTCAGCTCCAGTTGTGAGGCTGAGATCTACGCCACAGCCATGGCTGCACAGGAGTTACGCTGGCTCACCTACCTGCTGACTGACCTGGGAGAGCGGCCTAGTTCTCCTCCAGTGCTGTACGTTGACAACAAGGCCACCATTGCCTTGTGTGAGGAGCACAGACTGGAGCACAGGACGAAGCACATCGCTCTGCGCTACTTCCTTGCTCGAGAGCTGCAGCAGCGCGGTCAGCTTCGTCTTGCGTACGTGGCCACTCGGGCCAACACTGCTGATGTTTTCACCAAGGCGCTTCAGCCTTGTGATCATCAGTGCTTCTGTACTGTTCTAGGCCTTGTGCCTACTGTGCCTCACTTGCTTACTTCTTGACTCTGTTTGTACTGTGATCTCTATATATATACCTGCATGCTTACACTTGCAAGGTTGTGATCACTGTACCTCTTGTTATATTATCAACCTGCATGTGAACTGGTCTTGTGACCACTTGCTTGTGCTCAGAATTTGTGTGGTTTCCTTGAGATCCACCCTGAGCTTGCTTTGCTTTGCTTTGACTGGTCTTGTGACCATCTGGTTGTCTCCCACTTAGCCTATGGGGGTGTGTCAAACATTATATGTTTATATTGTGTAGGCTATAGTGGGTTTAGCCTTAGGGGGTACAACTTGTTAGGGTTTCCTACTTGTATCCCCCTTGTTCCTAGTTTGATCATTCTCGTTCATCCTTAGATTCTAACAGCTTCGGCCATAAGCTTTCTTCGTGAGAGTGCTACTTACCAGCCCGATGCGTGGTCGTGAACTCCAGACGTGAAATTGGCGCCACAGTGAGACCCTGAGGCAGGGTCGGAACCGTGACTCTAAAAAAAGTAGGAGGATCGTACGGCAGGCCTAGCAGTACGTAAATGTACGCCCTCCCCTGCTCCCATCTGCTGTTGCGATAGAGCTGCATCTTGCGTACAAACCAGCCTGAGCGTGCCGGGTCGTTGATCATGACGAGATGCAGCATGTGCTTTTGGGCGCGCGTGTTCAGCCTAAGTGTGCGGCAGAGCACAGACTCCATAAGCTGTTGCGGCGGCCAGAAGGTCATTCGGCCCACGCGAGTGTCGTACGCCAGAATCACGATGCCGTCACGTACCGCCTCCTGAATTTGTAGCCATCACACAAACACGAACAAACGTAAGAGCAAATACCTTCACCAAAAGCTATCCTACGTGGAGCATGCGAGGATGTCGTACCTTCCATCCGTTGTCCAGCCCAGGCAGACCACGGTGAGCCATCTCTAGCGTATCCGCCCAATATATAAGGCTCGTGGTAGGTGCACCATGGCGTCCAACAGTCGCCACAGTCTCCCGTGCAAGTGCGCGCGCGACGAACGGAGTCCTCGGTGGGTCGAGTGGAGGCTCCAAGTTGGCTGCGTTCACGGTTGCCACAGGTGCCACATTCGCGGAACGCCGTGGGCGCGGAGCGTCTGTGGCTGCCGGAGCCGGACGGGCTGGCCCCGGGGTGCGCCTCGCCTCCGTCTGGCGCAGTTGGGAGCGCAGTTCATGCACTTCGCGCTCGCGAGCGGCCAGTCGCGCCGCCAGCGCCGCGTCGACCGGCGGGGCCCGTGGCACAGCGGTCGCGCCAGCCGAAGCATTGCCAGCGATGACCGGGCCACGTGCACATGGAGTCGTGGTCACCACGTTCAGCGCAGCCTGGTTCACATCACCGAGAGGCCTCTGTTGTGCATTAGCCTCTGCAAACACATGAGCATCAGGTGTGAGGACGAGACACAGGTGTGAGAAGTAAACACTTGTGATGATAGCCACAAGATATCGAATGATGACCTCACACGAGCGCGTTGCGAAAAAACGAAGGAACATCCATACCTTCAAATTCCTCATCAACATCATCGTGGTTAGCAGCATCGCCTGAGTCTGAATGCACATTCTCGCCTTCGACCACCTCTGTCTCAGGGTCTCCCTCCGTGACGTCAACGTGTCGATGTTCGCGATCAACCGGGTGACCGACATGAGCCGAAGCGCTGCCCGGGTTACCCACGCCGGTTGCACGGGGCGGGTTGTCGTAGAATACCATGTCGCCGTCGTCTGCGCGCCTGCCCGCATTCTGCCTGCCAGAGCTCCGTGGCGCGTACGGGTTTCGTGGTGCTTCCATTATCTTCAAGCAATGTCAGTGCCGATTGTTCCAATGATGAATGCTACGCTACTCTGGTTGATATAGTGGTTTCGTGGCCAGGCTCAGGTCGAACACTCTGCGCGGCCCGCATCTCTGCGGGCGGAGAGGTTCGCGGAATCCAGCGCTCATCAACCCGAGAAAACGAGGGGACGCGGAGCCAGTGCCGCGCTGTCTAGACTCATCACAGCCATGCACGTGCCGGCGACATGAGCTGTAGCTGTCAACCAGTTGAAATGCGCCGTTGCCTAGAAATATCCCCTCTGGATCACGACCTGGCCCTTTTAGCCAAAAGGCGACGCACACCCGCTGCCAGCGCACGTACAGGGCACGTGGCGCAGATATTTGTTGCTCCGCTGGCTCCGACTTGTATCTCTTCACACGCCATGTCGTGTCGCGCGACGTCTACCCTCGCCCTTGAACGATATGCCGCATTCGGCCACCATGGCGGCATCAGTTACGGGATACGACTATTATTTTAAACGGTACGTTCTACAGCATAGCGATGTGTTTACAAACAAATTAAAACAGCAAGCATGTGCGGCAACTGTTTCTGGTAGCTGAGACAGCACAATCACCTCTAAAGGATTTCACATTAAACAAGCGAACCATGCTAACATGCGGCCGGCACGGCGTGAGCCGACCCTTTCATAGCACGAATTCAGGCATAACGGGGTCCGGCTTGAAATGGTCGTATTCCTGCGGAATCAGCCTGAAAATTGTGTTCTTGCTGAAACCAGCCGGCGGATCCCACGGATACTTGCACGAGTGCCACCCCGGGCCCAATGCGCGCCACGAATCTTTGTCGAAACGGTGCGGGATCTCCCACCACGCCATCATTCCAAGCGCGTGCGCAAGTACACCCGCACCCATGCCGTGCTCGCCGCCTACATGAGAGTACTGCTTGTACACATCGGGCTTGCGATCAGCAAGCTTCTCATGGCGGAAGTCGACCCTTGCATCTGGTGCTCCTACAAAATTGTAGGGTCCCCTCTCGACCTGCTCACGGCGGGAGGGCGAACGCCGAGGTGGAATCACATGCATGGGAGTGGTGACTTTGCGCAACAAACACAGTACACAACGTTCCGAAACTAAAACAAGCAATGCCAAATGCCACTTACCACCCATCCCTCGGAGTATGAAAACTCCATAAGGTACATGCGGTAGTCCTTTGGCGGGGGTGTGTCCCTGGCAAGGTCGGCCTTGCTCGTCGAGTCCAAGTTGATACTTCTGTATCCAGCGGCAGCGAGCCCTTTGAATGCTTCTGCCCTCTCCCGAATAGCTGGCGCATCGTGCGCATCGTGGAAAACCGCCTCTATGACGCACGTGTCAACATATGGGACGGCCGTACCACTTGTCATGCCCCGTCTGGCACGCAGCGCTTCCACTGCGCGACCGCGGAGCGTGCTTGCCCGGGCACGACTGTGCGTAACAAGGTGGTCCATGCTCTCCGCCAACTTCCTGGGGGTGACCGTCTTGTTAGCGGATAGCAGTCGTTCGTATTCTGCCTGCATTACAACTGCGGCAAGGTCTGGGAAATCCCTTACAAACACGTGCACCGTGGGGCAATAGCATTTCGCGGTACGAGAACGAGGCCATTCAGGACCGTAGTACTGAGAGCGGGGCTTCCCGTCATCCCCGTCTCATGCACAGCGCCAATTGCGTTTCTTGGGGTTGAGGATACCCTCAATGAACTTCGAGCTAGCAGTAGCCATCGGCTGAAAAGTCCTGTGTGAGATAATGGGGGGTGAAGAAATCGCAAAGTAGAACATTCAGATTGATTGAAGAGGTCGAAATTCGCGGCTAGGGTCAATACGCGTCACTGTGTGTCTCGCTGCGCGCAATTTGTACGATCGATCGTAACCAAAATGGTAACTATATATATGGTAGTGTAGAATGCTCAGTGCTACTTGACACCAGATCCATCCATCCGTGGCACAACTTGTCTTGGGCTTTTGATGTGTCAGCACAAAATATCCCTGGACAGATCTCATTTCCCGCCAACCAGGGATAGACTAGAATACTAAGGTGTCTACCGCGTGTCGTCAGAAGCCAAGTGCTACTAGCCAGGCACATGCCGTTGGTTACCCGAGCATGCAACACGTGTGTTAATATCTTCGGGGTGAGCAGTACACGTGACGAAACTCCCGCCAGGCAGCACAACTTAGTCCACTAATACTGACTCTGCATGCCAGCATCAGAGGTTAACATTGGACTGCCATGGCCGATTGGTCGGTATTAGAACTGCGCTCAGCCTCCCTCCCACTGCACCGAGTAAGCTACGCCGGGTTGTCCTCGTGAACACACGTGAGTAAGCCAGCGCGGCATGTTCATCACGGATATTATTGCCAATGTTTGATCACATCGTACATCCGTTCCCTGCCAGTTCGCGGTCCGACTTTATCGATGAGCAGCAAGCATGTCGTTGTTGATATAATGCGCGTTCGTGATATAGCGTCATACTTGCAAGGCCTTGCCGAGTGGCCGATGCAGCTATGACGCTCATAAGGTATCTCTACGTTTGTGAAGGTTGTCTACACCATTTCAGATCGCGAGGCGCATTGGTCGGACACAAGCTACCCCAGCATCATTGCCGGCGACGACGAGCACAGCTCCTTCGTTTCTACCGTCAGCAATCGCGCGGCGAGGTGGAAGATGCGGACTCTGATGACCTTGATCACTCCGAGTATAGCGGCGACTCCGAAACCGAATACGCCACCACCGCTTCTGACGTGCCGAACTCTCCGCCTGTAAGCACAACCGCCGTAAGGCGTTTCCCGCCGGACTATCGCTAATGAGAGTTTTGGTTCCATTATGCACTTAAATACCCAGGTACTCAACAACTATGTCTGCCGTGCTGACAGGGTGAGACGCAACGGCCTGACGGCGACGGCAACGCGTCGTCGATGAGCGAGGCGATGAGCGACGCCGATCGCGGAAGCGATACGTCAGATGACTCAGTGGAAAGCGACGACGAGGAGCGACACGGTGTCCGCGACAACGATAACTTTGACACGCTATATGAGTTCTTCCGGTTCATTGCCAGCTGCAACGGTGGCAGAGGGCTCACGGACGAGTCCACGGCTTGGCTCCTAAGCATCCTGAACGACCCGAGATGTGATGTCAGCCGCCTCCAGCAATGGCGGTCCAAACGCGCCGTGAAGCAGTACGGGCTCAATCTCCTCACAGGGAGGCGTGCGTATCAACGCAAAGAGTTCCGCCTTCCAGGCTATAACTACACCTTTCACATCTTGTGCACTGACCCCGTCGCAATGAGTTTTCCCACGCCTTGTTCAAGCTACGGGCCATTGTTCTGTGAGGCCGTTACGTGAATGCTGACATGTTGTGTGCTCGTTCCGTTTGACAGGCCACACTGGATATCTTTGGCAACCCAGACAACGAGGACGGGTTTATCCTATTTGCACAACCGAACAACAGTGGTGCCGGGCGAGTCTATACAACCCCAGCGACCGGCACCTACTGGGAGGAAGCGCAGGTGCGTCTACGCTAGAGGGTGTATGCGTGCCAACCTTTGCTTGACGGTGCTTAAGATGCACCTAGTCTTTATGCCGCGAAGATACTAATCATACTACTGTTTCCCACCCCTCCCACCCGCTTTTCGTTGCTATCATTGCAGGAAATTCTAGACATTCTGTCCGGGGAGGGCCAGGTCATCGCGCCTGTGATACTCTCTAGCGACGCCACCGTGCTGAGCGGTAACGAGCGCGTGAAAGTCTGGGCCCTGTACCTCAGTCTTGCGAACGTTGCCCTGAAGAATCGCTGGCGCGACTCTGGCCGGGTGCTCCTGGCGCTGCTGCCCTTGCCGCGGGCAGATATGACCCCAGAGTAGAAAGTTCAGCTCTTCCAGGAGGCGATCAAGATTGCGCTGGCGGACTTGATAGTGGCGTCACATACGTGAGTCCTTGTTACTATGCTGGTTCCGTTGTTCCTTTGTCATGTCTCTACCCCCTGTGGCTGCATCCTTTCCGTGAAACTTGTATAAAGCGGGCATGGCAACTGTATGCACCGTGGCTCGGCTTTATGCTGGAACCCTTCTGTTTGAAATCTAGAAAGAGTACGAGTAATAGATCTAGGTACAAGTCCTAAAGATTCATAAGGTATATCTTTAGCTTTCAATCCCAAAGGCGCAAGATAAAACGAAGGAGCTCCCACTTTGGGATTATACTGAGACATTAACGTATAAAATGCCCAACATTCATTTTTTAAGAAGTCTAAATCAGCCAAAACAGCTTCAATCCATGCAAGTTATCTTGTTGTGTTATTTCCCAGGGGCCTGGCAGCAAAGGACCCTTGGGGTGAGGCGCGGTTCGTCTGGCCGCTCCTCTTCTCATACGTGGCTGACTACCCAGAGACATGCAAAGTCAGCTGCACGCGGGAGCATCAGAGCGACGTACCGTGCTCAATCTGTTATGTCGAGCAGGATCACCTGCGAAACATGCAAGCCGGTCCATCGGCGCCTCGCACCGTCGACCAGCAGAAAGCCCTGCTGTCCGACCCCGCGGAAGCAGAGAAGTACTCCACTCTGCTTATCGATGTGAGCAGGGAGAGTGCTGTTGGTGTAGACATGTTGGTTGCTGGTGCAGTACCGCATGCTGTGGAGGTTCCAACCGCGCGCACGTACACCGTGTTGTTGCTACAAGTGCCTTTACTCCCCTTTGGATGCCTGTGTTCTCACGTGGTGTGGCAGTCGGTGCTCTGTGGCTGGAATTTTGCGGGAACTCCTTGGGGGAACACGTTTTTGTCGCTAATGCCAGACATTCTTCACGTCTTCTACATTGATTTCTGGATCTACATCCGCGCTGCACTGCGTGGCGGTGACGCTCGTGCGGCATTGGCAGATGAGTACGGGTCCCATCCGTGACACCAATTCCACCTGTCTAGCTCCCTGCCAGGGGTTAGTTGAGCCGTGAACCGAGTGTCCTGGGCTCTTAGCACAATACCCGTCCTGCTGCCCCTGCATTCCATGGTGTGCAGGCGAATGGAGACTCTATACCCTGGAGCTAGGCTGGCTGGGCTGAACCAACCAGGGACGGGGTCGCACTGGTCCTCTGGTGCGAACTTCACCGCCACCGAGCACGCCGGGGTCATGATGGTACGTTGGTTTCTCGTCATGGTGCAAGCCATTAGCTTCTCATTACCTGGATGCAGGGGTAGATGCCGTCCTGTTGCGCCCTGATCTGGTCCTAGTTCCATGTATTTGGCTGCTTGGCAGGTGGCGCCGTTCGCCCTAGAGGCCGAGGGCAGCATTATCAGCAGGAGGGCGCTTGTAGCTGTTCTGGACTGGCACGAGACCCACCTGCGTGCGCCGTATCACACTGACTTTTCGCTGGCGGAATTTGATGCTGCTACTCGAAGGTTTGTAGAGTTTTGTGCGTAGTTACCATCCCACTGTTAGTCCCTACAAGCTATTATGCCCCATGTGTCAAAACATTGCATGGGGGTTTGCTAACTCTCCGCGTGTTCTCTCTCGCCCTCAGGATGGTCGCGCTCGTGGAGAGTACTTTCCCTCGTACCAGCCGATGTGGATGGAACTTGATAAAGGTGCATCTTTTGCTGCATATTACGGAGGCGATCAGGAGAGCCGGCCTGCCGCGCGAGTTCTCGGCAGCGGTATACGAGAATGCGCATATTCGCACATGCAAGATCCCGTACCGGGCATCGAACCGCCGGCAGCACGGCACGCAGATCGTGGCTCACAACGCCACGGCAGCGCTGCTGAACACCATCCCCAGCAATGTGGCCCCGGCAGGGCGATACAACACTGCACTGCGGCGCGTAAGTGGGGGATACCGGGTCCAATCAGAGCTTATCCTCATGCCATCCACGCGTGCACCTCGTGCTTCCCCATGTTGATCGCAGCCTGGGTTGTGTTTGCCGCATGAATCGGTGGCAGCCAACTGTCCCCACCGGCCCACTAAGTCCTCTCCCCCATCCCCTTCCGTACAACTCCCACGCATATCACTGACGCGCATCGCACCACTCCTCACGCCCTAAACCACTGTCACCCTTGCAGGCCATCTCCACAGAGTCCCCTCAGCTCATCAGGAAGCGGACTCGCATGCTGGGGCGGAGCTGGACACCGACTGGGCCCCCTGACATTTTTTCGGCATACGATGCCGCTCTGGAGGACGGTGTCGGTCCCTATGCATTTGTCATGCGAGAGCACGGCCTGCGCCCCTTCCCTGTGTGGGTAAGTTCTAGGACGTGGTCACACTAGAGGCTGCTGTCATTGAAACCAGCATCAATGGTAGGGCACCAGCATACCGGGGCCAGCCGCCTAATTCTTCTCATACCTCGCATTCCCCCCCGTGCGGCCCCTCATGTGTGGAGAATAGGTGCACCGTGCGATGGCGCTGCCGCCTTTGGAGCTGGACCATACCGTCATCATGGCTCACTACGTGCACGCGACACCTACGCTGCACGGTGAGCCAGCGTTCTCGTTCGTCGAGTTCCTGGACGGGGATGACGAGGTGGCGCATGGCCGGGTCCACATGCTGATCTCCATGGACGGTGCGGCCATTCGCGAGGATGGCGCGGCCTATGAGGTGGCCTTCATTCGCAAGTGGCTGCCAGAGCATGAGGACGAGTGCACAGGCTGCATGGTGATGAGGCCCGGGTCATTGGACGACGAATACACCGTGGTCTGTCAAACATTATATGTTTATATTGTGTAGGCTATAGTGGGTTTAGCCTTAGGGGGTACAGCTTTGTTAGAGTTTCCTACTTGTATCCCCCTCCTACCTAGTTTCATGCATTCTCGTTCTATTCTAGATTCTAACATGGTATCAGAGGGCGGCATGTCTGCCGCCTTCCTGTGTATGGGCCCACCACCCGCTTCCGCTGCCGTACTGTCCGCCGCGCGCCCCGTGGTGCGCGGCGGCGAAACCCTAATTTCTGCCCGCCGCGCGCTCGGGGCGCCTGGCGGTTTTCCCTTCCGTGGCGCCCGTCGTGGTGCCCTTGGGGGGGCCTCCGCGGTCCCCTCCCGTCGAAGCGCCCGTCGAGGCGCTCTCGGGGACCCGCGCGGCCTCCCCTCCCGTCGCCCGTCGAGGCGACCTCGGGGACCCGCGCGGCCTCCCCTCCCGTCGCCCGTCGAGGCGACCTTGGGGGCCCGCGCGGCCTCCCCACCAGTCGCCCGTCGTGGCGACCACGGGGGCCGCGCGCGGTCCCCTCCCGTCGCCCGTCGAGGCGACTTCGGGGGCCGTGCGCAGCCCTCCCCGTCGCCCGTCGAGGCGACTTCGGGGGGCCCGCGCGGCGCCCTCCCCGTCGCCCGTCGAGGCGACTTCGGGGGGCCCGCGCGGCACCCTCCCCGTCGCCCGTCGAGGCGGCTCTGGGGGCTCGTCGCGGCGCCCTCCCTGGTGCCCGTCGCGGCGCCCCGGGGGGGGGCCGCGCGGCTCCCTTCTCGTCGCCCCTCGGGGCGCCCTGGGGGCCGTGCGTTTTCCCCCCCCCCCCTTCTGCCTTTCAACTGCGGCGGCCGCCCCTGGAGCCGCCCGCCACTGCAGCAGCAGCCCCTGGAGCCGCCCGCCACTGCAGCAGCCGCCCCTGGAGCAGCCCGCACCTGCAGCAGCCGCCCCTGGAGCAGCCCGCACCTGCAGCAGCCGCCCCTGGAGCAGCCCGCACCTGCAGCAGCCGCCCCAGGACCCGTGCGAGCCGCCTCTGCAGAAGCCCGCCCCGTCCCCCCCCCCCCCCCCCCCGTGCTGCCCATTGCTCCCATTCCACCGTGCGTTCCGCGGTGGCTGGGGTGTGGGGTGGCGAGCATGGGGGTGAGAGGTGTGGGTTCTCCCCTCCTCCTTTTTCGTCTCCCACTGCTGCAGCTGCCGCTGAGGGGGGTGGAGGTGTGGGAGTCGTGGGGAGTGGCACTGGGGGGGTGATGTGGGAATGGAGCTAGGGGTGAAACAGGGGGTGTGTGAGAGGGGTGTGGGACTGTTGGGGGAGGTTGAGTGGAGGCTGCTGTCTTGTCGTCCGCAGCACCTGTAGTCCGGGGCGCACAGTCCTGGTAGCTCAGAAAGCCTGCTGCACCTGTTGCCCGTGGGTCCGTTGCTCCTGCCGCTCGTCGCAGCCGCAGAGCCTGTTACTCCTGTATTCCGGGACGCACTGTCTCGGTAGCCACTGAGAGCCTGCTGCACCAGTCGGCCGTGGGTCCGTTGCTTCTGCCGCTCGTCGTAGCCGCAGAGCCAGTTACTCCGGTATTCCGGGGCGCTCTGTCTCGGTAGCCACTGTGTCAGCTGCCACTCTGTCAGCCGCTTCTGTTGCCCGTGTGTCTGCAGCTTCAATCGTCGCCTCCCATCTTCTCTCCTCTCACAGTCCCTCCTCCTCCTCACTTGCCCGCTGTGACTACCACTAGCTTTGCTCATATTTATGAACTATTGCTATGACTGCTCATTGTGCTGATTACACCCCACTTTGGCTATGGGGGTGTGTCAGAATATGTTGTTTGTGTAGCCTGCAGCGGCAAAGTTGACACACCCCCATAGGCTAAGTGGGAGACAACCAGATGGTCACAAGACCAGTCTAAGCAAAGCAAAGCAAGCTCAGGGTGGATCTCAAGGAAACCACACAAATTCTGAGCACAAGAAAGTGGTCACAAGACCAGTTCACATGCAGGTTGATAGTATAACAAGAGATACAGTGATCACAACCTAGCAAGAGTAAACAAGCATGTATATATACAGAGATCACAGTACAAGCAGAGTCAAGAAGTAAGCAAGTGAGGCCCAGTAGGCACGAGGCCTAGAACAGTACAGAAGCGCTGATGGTCACAAGGCTGAAGCGCCTTGGTGAACACATCAGCAGTGTTGGCCCGAGTGGCCACGTAACGCAGACGAAGCTGACCGCGCTGCTGCAGCTCTCGAGCAAGGAAGTAGCGCAGAGCGATATGCTTCGTTCTGTGCTCCAGTCTGTGCTCCTCACACAAGGCAATGGCAGCCTTGTTGTCGACGTACAGCACTGGAGGAGAACGAGGCCGCTCTCCCAAGTCGGTCAGCAGGTAGGTGAGCCAGCGTAACTCCTGTGCAGCCATGGCTGTGGCGTAGATCTCAGCCTCACAACTGGAGCTGAGAACAGAAGACGAGCGTGTAGAACGCCAAGAAACTGAACCAGAGCCAAGGCTGAAGGTGTAACCCTGAGACGACCGCTGAGTAGCCTGGTCGTCAGCCCAAGACGCGTCTGAGTGCCCAGTGAGTACAACTCGGTCTCGTCCTCCAAGCACTAGCCCCATGCCCGACGTACTGCACAAGTAGCGCAACACCCTCTTAGCGGCATCCATGTGCTCCTTCCGGTGACGGCCAGGAGCGACATAGCGTGCAAGGATGCTAAGAGGGTATGCAAGGTCAGGTCGAGTGCAGGTCATCAGGTACATGAGGCAGCCCACAAGCTCTGGATACGGGCCACTCGGCTCTACGGACTCATCCGAAGGCAGAGCTGAGAGCGAGTGACCGGTAGGCAGAGGAGTGGGCTGAGGCGAGGAGTACGTGAAGCGGAAGCGCTGAAGGACCTGCTGCACCATGTGTGACTGAGTCAAGGTGATGGTGCGCCGTGCTCTGTCCCGGGTGATCCGCAAGCCAAGATAGCTTGTCAGTTCACCCAGGTCTGTGCACGTGTGTCTCTTCTGCAGCTCCGACTTCACGTGGGCGAGTGCCGCAGTGTCAGCAGTGGCAAAGACCAAGTCGTCGACGTACACGAGGATGTAGAACGGCGGCAGCGAGGTGTCGGTGCGTAGAAACAGCGACGGGTCAGCAGTAGAAGGAGCGAACCCAAGAGCCGCAAGTGTAGTCCTCAGTGTGTCGTGCCACTCACGTGGCGCCTGTCGGAGACCGTAGACTGGCCGCCGGAGGCTCCACTGGGTACCAGGAGGGAACGACCCAGTGAAGCCAAGTGGGCGGCGCAGCCAGATCTCCTCGTGCAGGCTGCCCTGTAGGAAAGCAGTGCTGAAGTCAAGAGAGTGGAGCTCGTAGTCACGCTGAGCGGCGACGTGCAGCAGAACCCGAAGAGTGGTCATCTTCGGGGTCGGGGAGAAGGTCTGGAAGAAGTCAACTCCCTCTCGCTGACTGAAGCCTCGTGCAACGTAACGCGCCTTGAAGACAGGCGGAGAACCCGGCGGCCGCTTCACCCTGAAAATCCACATGCCACTGACGATGTTCGCCCCAGGTGGGGGAACCTCGTCGACGTAGGTGCCTGTGGACTTCCAGGAAGCCATCTCTGCGTCCATGGCTGTCTGCCACTGAGAGGAGTAGGGACCCTCTATCGCCTCTGCGTAAGAGCGCGGAGTCGGGATGTCTGGTGCATCCGAGTCTCCCTCAGGGGCAACTAGCATGGACACGAGATGAGGTAAAGCAGCGGCAAAGACAACCAGATGGTCACAAGACCAGTCAAAGCAAAGCAAAGCAAGCTCAGGGTGGATCTCAAGGAAACCACACAAATTCTGAGCACAAGCAAGTGGTCACAAGACCAGTTCACATGCAGGTTGATAGTATAACAAGAGATACAGTGATCACAACCTAGCAAGAGTAAACAAGCAGGTATATATACAGAGATCACAGTACAAGCAGCGTCAAGAAGTAAGCAAGTGAGGCCCAGTAGGCACGAGGCCTAGAACAGTACAGAAGCGCTGATGGTCACAAGGCTGAAGCGCCTTGGTGAACACATCAGCAGTGTTGGCCCGAGTGGCCACGTAACGCAGACGAAGCTGCAGTGGGGTTGTCCTCCCGCGCTGTTCCTTGTGTCTTCCTTGGCTTTGTCCCGGACGCGTCTGGTTGGCAGTTTTACCACCCCACCTCGCGCCGTGTCCTGCCTTCTCAGGACGTCACTTTCGATGAGTCCGTCCCCTACTACCGCCTCTTCCCCTACCGCACTGCCCCGCTTCCCCCCCCGCCTCTCTTCCTCGCGCCAGGTGCTGCTGTGGTAGACCCCCTCCCCCCTCAGGTTGCCGCTCCCTCATGTGTGTCCCAGGTAGACCCGGTTGAGCCTGTCGAGGTAGCTGTCGACTCTCGTCCTGCTAGGGGTGCTGAGCCTGAGGGTGCTGAGCCTGAGCGTGCGGAGCCTGGGGGTGCGGAGCCTGGGGGTGCGGAGCCTGGGGTTGCGGAGTCTGGGGGTGCGGAGCCTGGGGTTGCGGAGTCTGGGGGTGCTGAGCCTGGGGGTGCGGAGCCTGGGGGTGCTGAGCCTGCGGGTGCTGAGTCTGGGGGTGCTGAGTCTGGAGGTGCTGAGCCTGGGAGTGCTACACCTGGAGGAGCTCTCTCCTCACAGCAGCTGCGTGAGTGGTACTTACAGTACTGCAGCCTCAGGAGAGGTGCTTCTGGAGCTAGGAGTACTGCTGGAGCTGGTGCTAGTGCTTCCCCTCCTAGGCGGGAGCTGCCCTCTCCCCAGCGGCTCCGAGAGTGGTACGCACGGCGCTGCAGTCTTCGGAGTGGCGCTCCTAGTGTCGCGGACCCAGCTGCTGGAGGTTCTGCTGCTGGCGGTGCTTCTGGCGCTGCTGGAGGTACTGCTGGTGCTGGAGCTGCTGGTGCTGCTGACGCTACTGGAGGTGCTGCTGGTGCTGGTGGTACTGCTGGTGCTGCTGGAGCTGCTGGAGGTGCTGCTGGTGCTGGGGCTGCTGGAGCTGCTGGAGGTGCTGCTTCTTCTGGAGGTGCGGCTGGTGCTGCGGCTCCGGGCGTTGGAGTTGCTGCTGGTGCTGCGGACCCTGGAGTCGGAGCTGCTGCTGGTGCTGCGGACCCTGGAGTTGGAGCTGCTGCTGGTGCTGAGGACCCTGGAGGTGGAGCTGCTGCTGGTGCTGAGGACCCTGGCGCT